TGTAAAACAAAGAATGCATGGTTTTGTGATTGTTGCCGGCCGAATGACCAAAGCAGTTGGACCATGGTTAGAGCAGCTTGAACCACTAGGCACTAGTTTTATTTCAATCTATTATTTCACTTTTTCAACTTATTAGTGATCTCAATATTTTTGGAGAAAAAAAAAAAACTATTAGTAATGCTTCGGTTATTGCAGGGTACGTAAACAATCGTGTGCACGTGTGACCTTTAAATTATAATGTATCAAAATAATATAAGAAATACATCCCTTATTATCAAATAATGATTTCCACCCGTCTGTTTGAATGATCATAATTATATGTTTGTTAAGGGTAATATTACTTGAATAGACAAAGTAAAACGACAAAATGATATAAGAAAAAATAAGCAATACACGTATTCATGTGAATGAAGTATTATATTGCGAACAAAATAAACCAATTAAATAATAATTTTTTTCAAAAATAGGTAGGTACGTTCACGGGAACATATATGCTATGTCTCATAAATTCTTACCGATTACTTTGCTTGCATATTTAAAAGTAAATTAAAAAAAAAAAATTTGAAAAAAAAAATAAACAAGAATTTAAATTTAAATATGAATAATGATTTGGAATTTACATGTCCAATATGTTCAATCGAGATAAAATAATTTGATGCGTCCAATATTGAACTCCATATGCTTACTTCTTGTATATTGTCCATTCAACATCGCTTTTTTTGTTTTTTTTCATATGCTTACTCCTTATATGTTGTCCATGCAACAGTTTTTTTTTCTTTTATATCATCTTCGGTAAGTACTATTCAACAGCTCTATACCGAAAAGTAATGGTAAGACCTGTTACCATATCTAACTCAATTATGGGTTAACCTACCAAAGGTTGATGACATGACCCATCATCAGCTCTGTCATTATCCATAGCAGCAGTATAAGTGGAAACTGCCATATCTGAAGCCCAATTCAGCGCTTTCCAAATTGGACCAGTTAAAGTGATGGAGTTCAGTAAATATATCTGATTGGTGCATTCTCAAATAAATAAAAATAATTTCAAGTAAATATGGTAGAAATTAAGGGTGACATGACACGACCTATCAACACAAGGACACCACTTGAATACAACAAGAGATGAGTTTGAATTGACCTTAAACGAATTTAAATCACGAGTTGACACGATTAATCCATTTATTTAATCATATCGCGTTAGGATTAAGAGGTTCAACTCGAATAACCCATTTATGATTCATTTAATTCAATATGTTATAATCGTAAATATGGCATATATAATATGTTACTTGTTTAAATCTAATTACTATGCATAGTTAAGTCAATTCAACATAAACTTTGTTTATGACTTATCAATTTTTTTTCTTATTTTGAATATTTGGGTTAATTATGACAATTTTTTTATTATTTATTATTTAATTAAATATTAAATGTTTCGTTTTGATAAACAGATCATTAAACGAGTTAACACGTTTATCCGGTTAGATTAATGTTGAGGGTTTTTGACACGATTATTAAATGGATTGGGTTTAGATTTACCTGTTTAGTATAATACCCTTACATTGATACGACACGATTATTACCCACAAACACGAATTGCCACCCCTAGTAGAAATATAAAAGTGATATTCTCATTTCACTTTTCTCTAATTATATTTTACTAATTTTTTCATTTTAAAAAAAAAATAACAAAAATGTTTACAAATTTATTAATGCATCATGTACTATTTTATAATGTCATAACTATCATTTATACAACTTTAATTTTTTTTTACTATTTTTTTGTTCGTGTGCTATACTTTCTTTTTTTTTCCCAAAATCCTCTCAACAAAAATAATTTATTCAATAGCGACTATGAAGTACGGGTACTTCTTCAAAGTAGCCGTACCCGTGTCGTGTCCATATCTGTGTCGTGTCCGTGTCAAACACCGACACTCATCGGACACTCCTCCGACACATGTCAGACACTTTATATACGTGTCCGTAAATAAAAATAATGTTTTTATTATTTTAGACACTTACCCAATACTTTCGGACACTTTGCCGATTTTTCTTGAACACTTAGGTCGACACTTTCAAATATTTCTAATACTAACTTACTCGATAATCTTGAAAATAATATAAACACATTCTAAAGCGTTCAACTTTTACTTTAAGAAAAATTGACATATACACGTATGGTCACAAATGAAACATTAAATGGTATTTGTTTATTTAAAATAAAGACACTATTATGACAAAATAGTGAAATAACTTATATATACCATATAAAAATCATTACAACTCTTCGTATAAAACTTAGAAATAAATTAAAGTCTTATAATACTATTACTCAATATATATATATATATATATATATATATATATATAAGTTCATATTTATATAGTCGTGCCCAAGCTGTATCCATATCTTACTTTTTAAAATTTTGATGGGTCGATGTATCTGTATTGTGTCCTGTATCCGTATCCATACTACATAGAATAGGGATAATTTTATTTTTGAAAGTTAAAAGAGATAATTTATTAAATAGTGACAAAATTTTTTTTTTTTTTTGGTGGTCCAATCAAAATATATGATTTATTTAACATGCATAACTTTTTTTTTCTTCTTTTTTTTTGACAACTAAAATATTAAAAATTGGAGAGACAAAGAAAGAAAATCTGAAAAGGCTACTGTGTCAGTTGAATAAAAATAATCATCCACTTATTAAGTTAGTGTAAATATCACATCCATATATCAGGTTCGGTTACAAAAAACTGGTACAATTTCATCAACTCTAATTTCATACAAACCAACATAACATGACTGATATTTACATCATTGTAACATTCTCAATCTATTGATGTTGGATCCTTAATCTAATAGTGTTGTATGATGATACATTATTTTAATTGATCCGAATGATACCTATTCCCAAATATTTAAAGAAAAAGGAGATGCGTGAGAGCTCTAAGAGCAGCTGCAGCGGGCTCTTCATAGTCCAATTTTCGCTCGAGAGAGAGAGGCTTTGGGCGTGCAGCGGGCTCTTCAAAATTGGTAGGGCCCATTTTTGCTGGCGGACCAGCTCGCGGTATTCAGCGAGCCGGCCCGCGATCACTGGCATTTTTTTTTTTTTTGTTTTTTTTTTTTGCTTCAAAATGGCGCCGTTTGGCCCCTCTTTTGTCTTATTCTACAGCTCCTGGAACAGTGAGGCACTATTTGGCATATTTTTTATATAAAAAAAAAACCTAAAAATAGATTATTTTGAGCTCTTTTTTAAAAATAAAAAATAAAATAAAATTCATTAAATAAAAAATATATTGTTGATGCACTATTTGTCAAAATTAAATTTGATTTGGGCCACAAATAAATTAAAAAAGCCTTTTTTTTTCCTTACAATTTGTTTTTTTTATTTTTATTTTTTCGCTTAAATTTTAAATGTGTACTGCTTCTTTTTACGGACTTGAAATACTTGCTCAACTATCTCTAGCCTCAATGAATTCATAATTTCATAAAATTCGTCTTGATCTTGTTAAATCAAAGCTCCAAAAGAATCATCTTCCGAAGAGGATGACGAGGAAGATGAAGAATTAGAGTCTGTCAAAGGAAAAGCTTGTGATGACGAAGTCATTGGAATTTCAAAATTGAAAAAGATGGATGATGATATTTTGCTACAATGGAGAGAGATGAATGTAATGATAATTTTCAGATAAGCAAATGAGTATTATACTCATTATATAAGATGAAAAATATAGTCGTTAAAAATATAGCCGTTATACTCATTATATAAGATGAAAAATATAGTCGTTAAAAATATAATCGTTACAAATATAGCCATTAAAAATATAGCTGTTGAGGAAAAGTTTAAAAAAAAAAATTTAATTTAATTTTTTATTATTATTTTTTTTTTGGAGAGCGAAAGTTCGGAGAGCATGATGGAGTGCATGTTTCTGAAGAGCGAAAACTACTGACGTGACTCTTGAAATTGCTAACGTGGCTCTTAAAAAAATTGATGTGGCATTTTTAGAAAGCCAAAATCCGAAAAGACTGATGCAGATGGCCTAATACCATTTCTCAATATAGTTTTCCATCTAAAATTGAAAGGTGATCAGATACTTCAAACTCGGCGAATAGGAAAATGGCAATGAAAGCAACCGGCTTTGGTCGCTATAGACACTAAAATTTAGTGGGCTTTGGTTTTAACCAATGGACCCATTAAATATGGGCCTAATATTTAATTAAGTTATTTAATTGGTCCAGGCTTGGTCCACTTAAATTATTTAATTAACCCAGCCCAGATGATTAAATGAAAAGATAATATTCCTAATAAAATATATTTGGAATAATTATTTTTAAGGATAATTATCATAATATAACCGGCCCGGCCCAGTATGATTTTATCCTTATCAGAAGATGACATGTGTCATCATCTTATTAATCTAAGAAGCTTATAAATAGAGGGCTAAAGAAAGGAAAAAGGGTACACAAATTCAGAGTCCAGAAATCCAGAGATTTAAAAATCCAGAGACTCAGACAACATGCCGTTCTTCATCAAGTGCCGTTCTTCATCAAATTCAACAGTGATTCAAAAACAAGCTCGTGCAGCCCTTGTATCCAACCAACAATAAAAAGAAGATCAAATCAGAGGACCATTCTTTTTGTAAAAGATATCACAAAGGATTATACTATAAATATTTCTGATTTAATAAATTATTATTTTGTCCATATTTTGTCTTTATTTACATATTCCAAAATTTGTGTCTACAGTCGCCCATGTAGTTTTCCATCTAAAGGTCATCAGAAACTTCAAACTCGGCGAATAGGAAAATGGCAATAAAAGCAACCGGCTTTGGTCGCCCATAAACTGACACACCCATTCTCTCTCTCTCTCTCTCTCCATATATATATATATATATATATATATATATACACACACACACACACTAGATATATATGCATATATACTTGCATATGTTTGATTATTCAATTTCTCAGTGAAATATGCTTGGACCAATAAATGAGAAGATAAAATTAAAGCTTCCTATCCCATGCGGGCATGCCCCAATTTCAGAAGTGAGAGTGAAAGCTTTAGGATAAAATATAGACTATACAATATATATATATATATCCCCGCAAATTCCAACTTGTTGGCCATTTCGGACTTGTCTTCACATGCACACAGGAGAGAGAGTCCTCAGAGCACTCCAGACTCCAGAGGTTTCTAAAAAGTCAGTAAGAGTTATGACCCCTGAAGCTTAGCTGTGCCTCCCTTTAGTCCCCTAGTCATGTGCCCATAATACTTCGTCTCTTTCCCATTTTAACTCATAGATAGATCACACCAAATCTAGCTCTTCGCATTTCAACTATGTGTATATTACAGAAAGAATGAGAGAAAGAGTACAAAGCTAGAGAGAGAATGAAGATCCAGTGTGATGTCTGTGACAAAGAAGAGGCCTCTGTTTTCTGCTCCGCTGACGAAGCCGCCCTCTGTGATGGTTGTGACCATAGAGTCCACCATGCCAACAAGCTGGCCGGCAGACACCTCCGCTTCTCTCTCCTCCACCCTCCCTTCAAAGACTCCCCTTCCTGTGATATCTGCCAGGTATTCTTGCTATATAGATACATAAACATGAATTTATATATACCACACATATACATATTCATACATGACGCTCCAAATTAGATAAGATCTAACACTTACCTCGTGAATTGAGTACCCTTTTTTTGTTTTGAACCGGTAACATCCGAGAGAAAGTACTGGCAAGGAATCCTACCGTTGGAGTTAACAAATTTTTACTGGAACTTCCCCCACGCGTCTTACACTTTACCTGTTTGATTAATTATATAAATTTTGTGAATTGTATGCACTGGTATGAGACGGTGGTAGCACACCATAAGGCTAATTCAAGCTTTGTGTGCACAACATGCACCCGAGTTTGCATAACACTTACGGTTTGGCTAAACCCGGTACACAGTGCACCCGACGCACATAATATCTATTATGTGACATGTTATAACCAAAAAGATATTATTAGACTTAATTTGACCTATAGTTACTATTTAATGTAGTCAAAGTCTCATACTTTGACCAAAATGCTAATGTGGACATGAAAAAACAATATTTATTCTCATTGAGGCACTTTTAGACATATAAGTATTATTTTTTGTGCACGAAAATATGTGTGCATATATACATTCATGTTTACATCATAGAGAGATTATTTTTATTTTGGGCATAGAGGTACCATTTTTATTTACTTAGGTATTACTTTTTATGCATCAAGTACCATTTTTTTGTGCAGCTCAAAAAGTAGTACCTAATGACAAAAAATAGTACCTGCATACACAAAAAGTGCTACATATGTACTTAAAAGTGGTACCTCAGTGAGGTAAATAGTATTTTTTTCATGTCTTTATTTTTTCAAAATTATGAGATTTTGACTCTATTAAATGATAGATATTGATCATTAACATCATTTATATGTAATAATACCTAATTTGATAATGTGCGACACCTGTGCATCAAAACAACGAGGTTTTGATTCACTGGATCTGAATTCCTGTGAATATGATAAGTGTACCTACGTATATATTTTGCATCAATTGACCTTCACTGTCAGGCTCAAATTTGTAGTTTCTAAAATTATATTCTTATTTTTTCTTTTACTCTTTACATTCCTTAAATTTCCTTAGTAGAAAAAGTCAAATTTTTCTTCCTCAATTGAAACTTTTTAACTATTTCCTATTAAAGTTCTTTCATTTTTCTTTCCTTTTATATTTTAATAATTTTCTTCTTCTTTGTCTTTTTGAATTTTATAGTTGTTATATATATGTGTGTGCGCGCACTCCGTATTGTTTTTTTTTTTTTTTTGTTTGGCAGTATGCCCCCACTTGAAATCCTGGCTCCGTCACTGTTCACTGTATGAATAATATTTGCACAAAATTTGAGTTAACGAAATTTTATAATTGCCACAAAGTTTGAAAAATCAAGCACCGTGTATACCCTTCTTTTCCATAAATACATATGTAGATATATCTTTCATCATTAATATTTTGTAACAGGAAAGACGTGCCCTTCTGTTCTGTCAAGAAGACAGAGCCATCCTTTGCAAAGAATGTGACATTCCAATACACAAAGCAAACGAACACACACAGAAACACAATAGGTTTCTTCTCACAGGTGTGAAGCTCTCTCCCTTTTTTTCCTCATACCCAGCTTCATCATCCTCCAACTATGCTTGTGAGGTTGCCACTGATTCCGAGGTCAAAAGCTCTGTCTCTAATCAATTCTATAACGACCCAAGTGATCCGTCTGATTATGAGCAGAACCCATTACCATCAACCTCAACATCAACAGTAGTACCTTCCAAGGTTGATCATGAACAAGAGGGTTCAATTTCAACTAGTAGCATATCAGAGTACTTGATGGAGACATTACCCGGATGGCAAGTCGAAGATTTTCTTGATCCTGCATGTTCTTCCCATGGTTTCTGTAAGGTTTGCAATACACCTGAGTCACCTGACTAGTAGCATATACTATATATATGATGTGTGTGTGTGTGTGTGTGTATTTTAAATATGTGTTGTTTGATGATGGGGGAAGAACTAAGTAAGGTCACTTTTATATATAACTCTTTTTTTTTTTTTTTTTTTAACTGATACTGTATTTGGAATTGGTTTCAGAACTATGACTATGAGCATAACTTGGCATTTATGGATTATGATGCTAAAAGCAAGTTGTATCCTTTTTCATCAGAAGATTTGACTCTTTGGGTACCTCAAGCTTCACAACAATCTCCTCATATGTCTCACAAATTGAGGAAATAACAACTAACCATTGGCCAGATATGATATTCTCGGTGCCCCGGCCTGAAAAAGTTTCTCCCCAAACTGCTGCGATCAATGAACTCAAAAAGGGTGTACTCTAAAGAAACAAACAAGGTGATGAAAGAAAGCAGAAAACGGAAGTAAAAATGGTTCTACAGTTTTTTAGATCAGTCAAACCATCTCTCAAGAAACCAACAGCTTTTGTAGAAATATATAGATCTCTCTCTCTTTCTCCAATGTATTCATAACCTGTGGAATATAATCACTTTTTGCTAGCTGTGCCATACTCAATTTGGGGTTGGTTTACTTAGATTGTTTGTAATCTATATCCCATTTAGGTGGGTACGTTAGCTATTTTATAAGACATCAATCATTTTGTGAATATTCCATTCCTTTCTTGTTCCCCGGCAATTATTCCATGATAAATGGGAAACAAATAGGGAGTGGAAGGTCAACTATGGTTTTGTTGGGTTAAATAGATTGGGTCCATGAAGGAAGACAACTTCACTCTTAAGTACATTTCCGGTTATGACTTTCCTTTTTCACTATGGACCCCTTTAAGGAAAATGTCCTCTAAAAGGTGTACAAAAATAATGATGTGTAAATTAATAGGGTGGTTTAATGCTACAAGTGGGGCTAGTCCCACATCATGTTCACATGAAAAAGTTGATGGGATATATGATTGACTGTTAGCCCCGCCTAAAAGCTTAATCTTTTGGGTCGGATCGCGAAATATCCGGTCTTAATTGGTATCAGATTCAAACTCAGTCATTAATCTGGTGTTACGCCAAACGCCCTGCCTGGATGTGTCCGGGTACATCACACAGAGTAGGCTGGATGTGTCCGGGTACACCACACAGAGTAAGTAGGATAACCCGACCGCAACAAGGGCGTTGCAAGTTCCGGTAGAAAAAAATGTTACAAGTGGGACTTGTCCCGCATCAGATCCGGATGGGAAAGTGGATGGATATATATGGGTTGGGTGTTAGCCCCACTTAAGGATTTTTTTTTATTTTTTTTCCTAGTTGGGACTCACACACACTGTCTCCACTGAGGTTCGAATCCCTGACCTCCCTTTGGGAAGTAGGAGTTTTGTACCGCTAGGCCACAGGCCTGTTGATCCCCACCTAGGTTTTTGAATCAGATCGCGAAGCACCCGGCCCATTACATTTAGGCACTTAAGTTTGCGGAGTCTGATCACGTTTGATTACATTGGGGAAGAAATGGACCGGGCCAATTGTTATGGACTGGTTAGAACTTGTTGTTTTAGAGAAAACTTGCTAGTGGAAGAAATAGACTGATCCAACTTTTGTGGACTAGTTCAACTTTGCTAAAGTATACCACACCAATTACGTCAAGTTGTACTGGTCCAATTTTTCTAAACCGATCCAACATGCCTTGAAAGTGCAAAAATTAGTTTTCTTTACGGTTTTGGACTCTCCAAAAGACTTACATTTGTGAGGCAAGTTAGTTTCCTTTGAGAGAGATTATTTATATGAACCCTAATAAGATTTTAGGGTGTGCTTCATGTAAGATATATTATTTTGCCGCCACAAGAGTGTGAGAGCAAGAGAGATTGGAGAAAATTTTCATTGTAATCCTTCATATTTTTCATAGTGAATTGTTCTATAACGACCTAAATTCGGAGGATTCAGATCGCTAACCGGGTCCTAGCCGATCCTAGGTCACACAAGGGTAAAATGATTAATTTACATCAAAGAGGATATAATGCGACTCTAAGTAAGTTAAATGAGATGTATACAATCCATTCTAGTCACTCCATGACATTCTAAGAGGTCCTATGGGAGTTAGTCATGGTTCCCCACAAATACCCCTTCCTGATTTTAAGGATTTCTAAAGTAGTTTGCACTAAAACAGCCAAAACTTCCTTTACGAATGGAATTTTGGAATGAAATTGGCATCATTGGAAAGCTGACTCAAAATCATTGAACTTAGACTCAAATTTGACCCAATTTAGTTAAGAAATGAAGAAGTTATGACTGCTCGCAGTTAGGGGTCCAAAATTAGAGTTTTGCCAACACAGAATAATTTTAGGGGACCTGAACCGGTTCAGGATACTTGAATCGGTTCAACATGGGTAGTGTGCCCACATTGGGAACCTAATTTCACCCTTGGACTGATTCAAGGGGGCTGAACCGGTTCAAGAAGGACAGAATAAAAAAATGGCCCAAAAATGCCTGATTTGAGTGCAAGGGTTATGGACACCTCTAAGGTCCCATGGAAGATTATTAGAGTGCTTCCCAACTTGCTTAAACATGATATATATACAACATCCTAAGTTCTCATTACACCCATAGACATCAAATATGCTAAATCATTTAATCATCTACATAACTAATTTTCGTTCATTTGAGTTACGTAGTCAAATTAGTCCATTTATAATCATAACTCGTTTTGTCATCCATGTTCAAAATAACTCATTACATCATTGCCCAAAATAAACATAATATAGTCCCAAAAGAATAATATTACAAATTTGAGACCCTTAAGGTTATCTTTACAAGAGAAGTGAAGTCAACAAATATTCGTTACAAAATTCTCAAAAGATGCTCCCATCAACCCTAATTATACTCGTGAGGATCCGTCATCAATAACTTCTTCGTTACAACCTGAAAATTATTAAAGGAAGGGGTGAGCATGGAAGCTCAATAGAAGATGCCTAAGGCACCAACTTTGGACTCCCTTGAGCCATACATCACACATTGGGGATGAAAGTGAACCAGGATCATACACTGAGGATTTTCACAACATTTAATTCACTAACAATCTCAACAATAGTATTTAAGCATTTCATCACAAGTATGCATAGAATGCAATGCAATGTCCCATGATTTTCCTTTCCCAACCTTAGTCTCAACCGACTCCAAACTTGGCCTTTACCGGCCCTAATTCCCACTTACGCTAACCGATTTTTACCGAGCTGAGATTGATATTGACCCTGGTTCCAAGTCTGGTAACCATTTGGTCCTAGTACCAAAGTTACACGTCCTATACCAGCATGCACTCCCTCTAGGTCGAGTTAGAACCAGGCTCGCGATACGTGGTTCATTTCTAAATTCCTCTTTTTCTGCCCATTATAAGATGGCTTACTTTTCAATCTCATCCAACTTTTTCACCATTCTAAAATGGTTCAAATGCTCCTCGCATTCAAATTCCCCACCATACCATGCTTATAATTCAATTACATCAATTCAACATTAATTCTCAATTACACAATGGTATTGACACCAACATAGCATTCTTCGTATAATAGGTACAAGCATGGCATGTCATAGATAATAATCACAACCATGGTATTCACCATAATGTGGATACAAGCATGCTCATTAGACAATTTCAGATCATCTCAAAATCATGCTATAAGAAGTGAACTTCTTGTAGTAGTGAAATTTGTTTAATCATATTATAAGAAGTGAAATTTCAAAGTTCGGGACTCTTTGTGAGTTTTTGTGCTTGAAAATTTTGTTTTGTTTTCTTTTTATTTGGTAGAATCTTCAACATATGCTAGATTGTCGTTCATTATCGTTCTCTTTGAATACATACGATTGGAAACTTGAAAAGACTATAATGACCCGAACCCGTAGGTCCGAACCGCTAACCGGGTCCTTACCCAAAACCTGAGATCACCTAAGTCAAACCCACTCATGGCTAGTGTCCATACATCATTATTATGTCTTAGTTAGGCTTCAAGATGGCTCTAAACAACTTTCCAAGATTTGAGGATTAATCATGCAAGAATAGGAACAAAGTGCCATAAACAGCTTCATTTCGATTGACCGAAATAAAGCTTCGGTCGGCCAGAATAAAGTTTGTACTGGTCGACCGAAATGGGCATTTCTGTAATGTTTTATGATTATATATATATATATATATATATATATATATATATATATATATGTTAAAGTTATTAGTTTTTTTTTTTAAAGTAAGTGGGCCCCACCATTATATTAAACCTCACAACCATCAATTTTCCTTTCTAGGCGTAATTCTTTCTTTCGGACTTCCAGTGGCTTCTTTTCTTTCTTTTTCTTTCTGTTTTTTTTTTTTTTTTTTTTTTCTTTTACAATTTCAGGGCTTAATCTAGCTTTATCCCTTTGGAATTTGGTAAAATCTTATAAAACAAAGTTAGAGAGCTCATCGAGGCCGACGATTTGATTAGAGCCAATCACCATTTGTCCAAACCTAGGGATTTCGAATTTAGGGCTCAAATTGGGGCTTTTTCTCTCATTTGAGGTAGGGGTGTTCTAATGCATAAATTCTTGTTCTTTTGTGAGTTTTCTTTCTTCATTTGAAGACAAGCATGCTCAATTTGTATAACCTTTGCAAGGATTGTTTAGATGTTGGATATGGAACACATGACTACTTGTTAATTGTTGTGTAGTGATTATATATTCCTATATGAAGTTAAATTCATGTCTTAAATCCTTACCATGCTAAATTGATGATTGATTGAAAGCATGAGTTATGTGTTTTAGAAATTTATGTGGGATAGTATGTGTAAAAAAAAATTTATTGTTGAGTTGATGATTTGAAACATGGAGCATTCTTACATCATCAGGAATAGAAAAATGAAAAAAAAAAAAATCAAAACAAAGGAGATAAATTTTTAGGAAAGTATTTCTAAAAGTGTTTGTGAAAATCGGACGCATAGGAGGCGCCTAGTGGTCCGTGATATTAGTGTAGTCTAGAAAGGAGTGTGGTTGAGCTAACTAAGCCGGATGCAACGCCTTGGAGGTGCCTTGTGGTCGTGGATAGTTAGTCAATCCCCCTTTCGTGACGCCTTGGAGGTGCCTTGGGTCGGATTACACTAACGGTTTGGTTGTTGAAACGGAATTGTTTCGGAAATGGGGAGTGGCATTTGCATAACATTGCACTTCATAGCATTGTAGTAAATCTGTGATTGGTTGACATTTGCTACATACTTGTTGTTGTGGTTGAGAATATGTATTCCCCATGGTATGACCCTGTTCCTTTTTACCCATTTTTTGTGTAGAATTCACAGGGATATAAGAAGTGTGTCTTAGACGCTTCCTACTGAGCTTATACTCACCCCATTATTTTTAACATTTTTCAGGACACGAAAAAGAGGTGGCGGACGACGATCCACCACAGGTTTAGACGAGCTTGGAGATCTATTTTATTTTGCTATCTTTTGTATTAGAACTCTAATATTTTGTAAATGTAATCCTAACTATTTTGTGAAACTTTAGTTTAATTGGTATAATGTTGTAAGCTATGGACTTTTGAATTTTAGCTACATTTTATGGACTGTAATTTGATGTAACTAAGGTGTGTTCCTTGTTTGGATGAGATGGAGGAAGAGGACTTTTTATTTG